CATGTCACAAATCGAATATTGATTTGTGTTTGCCGGATCGATTACTGGCAAACGTCTTTTTAAGTTTCACATATAAATCTTTAGCAATTATTACTTTCTATCCAATATTTTGCATAAATATTTCAGCATTTTTAATATCAACATCGTATCTTGTCTTGTTTTATATAAATGCTAATAATTTATTGCTTTAACACATTTGTTTACCACAAATGGCTTTGCTCCTAAATATTACAAAATAAAAACCCAAAATTGTAGTGCCTCTTGTAAGTTAATAAAATTTTATGGTTTGTAGACATACAATTTTCTAACAAGATTTAAATTTCTTATCAGAGTTATTATTGTTTTTATTCAGTAAGCGACAATTGGTACATGATTTGGCATGCACAGGTTTATTTTATTTCATACATATGTCGAATTATTATGATATTACTTGAAACATGCATACGTACAACCCGACATAAGAGAAGCATTCGATTTGTATTTCATTTTTAAATAATAAAATTTGTTTATTTAGTACTTTTATGTTAAACTCCATTACATATCTTACACTCATATACATATTTAGTCATTCACCTCAGTCAAGAGTGTGTTTAATGTATGTATGTATGTAATGTATGTGTGTCTTTCCACTACATAGTAGCGGTGGCGCTCCTCGTGAAAAAATTCGACCCAGACAGGTACTGCCACCTTACCTATTTCTGCCGTCAAGCAGTGATTGAGTTACAGTGTTCCGGTTTTGAAGGGTAAGGGTGCTGAGTGAAATTACAGGTAAACGGGACGTGTCAACATACGTCTATATGAATTCATTATTCAAAAACTTCAAGACCATTTCGATGTTTTCTTATGTTACTTCTAAGAAACAATATATGCGTTAGAATAATAGATGTTAGTACAGATTACAATTGCATTTTTACAAAATACTATAGACAAGTCACTTTCTCGATAATTATCTTGTTACGTAAACATGTTTTAATCGACATTCTTTTTAGGAGTCAAAAAACTTTGTCTTTCTCGCGTGATTCGGCGTACATTATTTCATTGTGCAATTATTTCCTTAATTACATTAAGTCAGTGTAATACGACTATTCAGTATTTCAATAATTATCACCAATATTCTCCGCGTTGTTAATTAAACGAAATAATTGTTCAGTTATTACCGTTATTTTTTATTAATGTGTATAGGAGTTCATCAAGGGACATGATTATAGCTCGACGGAAATAATCATGCCTGCTATAAACATAGCGAATAGAATTTGTAGAGAGTTTACCTCAAAAGCTTTTAAATACATACCTAATTACGTAGGTACTGAAGAGTAATTACTCTCACACAATTTTCTATATTTTCTACATCACCTAGCTAGAAAGCTACAGGTCACAAAAACTATCAATTGAATAGGATGGCCTTAATCACACCACACAAAGTACGTTCGAACCAGGTCAATGCACTGACTTGACTAAAGAGTCAGTTAGAATTAATTTAAATGCTTATTGGACTTCATTTGAGAAAGAGAGATCAAAAAGTTCCTTATAAAAGTGAATGTGATTGTAGTATTATAATCACAAACATTGACCCATCATTTCAATCAACCTTGAAACAGGTTGAGGCGTAACGTTGTCCCTTGGGGAACTCCTATGCAAAAAGGTAAGACTCAATTAATTTAAGTAATTGTTAAAATATAAAACTAGAAGTTCACTTAAACTGTGACTGAGTTCAAAATGATCGTCATCGAGGCCTATAGTAGGCGGAATAATTCCGCTGCTGACTATAGGTATCTCGCAATGCTCACCACTGAGTCCTGAATTGGGCTCGCCACTTTCAGTCGCTTTCATCGCCATTACATGAATTCCAGTTAATAACAAAGTAAGCGAAAAGAACCTGGAAATTTGCAAGAATGATTATGTTTCGAACTCATACATTTGAACAATGTTTTGAGATTTTTTTATAAAATCAAGTGACGGGACGAACAGGTCGTGCGCCTGATGGTATGCTACACGCCTGTCCATAACAGTTGCAGTGCCACTCAGAGCTTTAAGTCGCAAAGATCTGAGGGGCATTGCCACTGCGCCCGTCACCCTGGGACATAAGTTGACAAGTCTCATGTATCTGTAACTTCATCAATACCCTTATCCGTCAAAACCAGAACACGGCATTAATACTTCGCGACAGAAATAGGTAAGGTACTTCCTTGGAGGAACTCTTCCACAATTCTTCTTCTAATTCGACTAAAGTATGGGCCGGGCAATGGTGTGGGATGTCACATGTGCCGACACACTTCCATTCCATCTCTAACACACCGGCAAGAGGGCTGGCTCCAAACTGGCTCCACAACCAGAACAGAGTCATGCTGACATTACTTGGCGTCAGAAATAGGTAAGGTGGCAGTACTTCCCTGGACGAACTTTTTCACAAGGAACTCTACTACTAACTAGATACCGAAAGTAAATGTCTTAACAAGTAACCAAATTGTTAAAGAAAGAATAAAATGTAAGACGTGCCAAGTTTTTCTAAACGTACGCTTAATATGAACAAAAAAAAATTTGAAACAAGAAATGCTGCTTAATTTTAACACTACATTTAGCAGTAATGAAAAACTGTTCCAAAAAACTTTCAGCAACATGACTTCATTGTTTTTTGTGCTTTTCAATGATAAAATCAACAATTTTATTAAAATAATTTCTCCTTTTTTTGACCTTTACCAGCATAATTTATAAAACGTGACAGGCAGACACAATAGCTACAAACAAACCTCACAGTAGGAGTCAAGAATCGAAACGCCCAAAATTTCAATTCAGAGCGCGTCAAAGGCAATCTGTCCCAAATCTATTCCTTTAAATATATCCGTCTCATTTTAAATAACAATTTCAATAAGAGACGGATAAATGAAATAGGGGTATCTGGCGATACAACGTCCGAGTAATGTGATAATCCGATCGTAACTGAACCAAATGCAATTGATCCGAGACTTTTTATTCGTGTCTTTAAAATAGTAGCTGATGTCAAAGATGACGATGGATAAGAGCGGTCAAGTAACAACGGTGGAATGGTAAATGCATAACGGTGTAAATAGCGAAACAGTTGTTGATCGGAAAACAATTAGGATACCGGTGGGATGTTAAGGAAATTGAGTTTGGTTTAATTATGAAGCATTCCAACTTTTTTGCATCAAGATACCATTTAGGAATGTTATTTCATGAAGAACGCTTAACAGCTCCATTAAAACAGTAAGAGTAATTTGCGCTTTGAAAAACGTAGACAAAAAGTAGTTATACTATTATATTATGTTAAAATATTCTACTGGTACCAGATGCACTAGGTGTTTCCAGTTTCGTGAACATTATGTACTCGTATGATATTTCCAAGCAATATATTGTTATATATAGCATGTAGTAACACAAAACCAATAGAACTATTTGAAGTTAATTATGAATATATTTGTTGATAGACACTATCGGTGGCATTAGCTTTAAACCAAATTTCTCAATTTTCTGTTAAACTATAAAGAGTAAGCACCAGAAGTATACCCAGTAAGACTCCTTTTCAATAATCCCCTTTCTTTCACTAGCTGCGCTTTCAATAACATTATAAATTTCATTGCCACTATAAAAGACTGCTTTCCTTATACGGCCATGATACGTTTTTTGGTCTTTATTTTTACTCTTCACTACAAGTAAGGTTAATGATTCTTGTGGACGACTTTAAGTTCTTGGGACTCGTTATTTTTGGTCATTTTTAAAATTAGTTTTTTTGCATAATTTTAATTTCAAAAGTGGAAGGTAATGTTGATGAAATGTATGAAAATTGAGGGTCAAATCACGATTATATCAGCAGTAAAACGCATATATTTGTAATTTTTAGTGTTTGTGAATTGTCAGACATGTCATGTTTAACAAAAGTAGTGCCTGGTGGACCGTACAAAAGGTCAGCATGTTTAGTGAGTACTAGAAACGTTGAAAAGCATTACATGTCAGATTTGGATTACAGTGGTAGTCGATTGTCACCTTAAATTAAGGGTTTTAATTTACTTACCTATTTCTGCCGCCAAACAGTAATGTGTACATTACTGCATTCCGGTTTTGAATGGTAGGGGTGCTAGTGAAATTACAGGCAAATAAGACTTGTCAACTTATATCTGAGGGTGACGGGAGCAGAGGCAGTTCCCTTCAGATCTTTGCGTTGTAAAGCTCTGAGTGGCACTGCAACTGTTATGGATAGGCGTGTCGCTTACCTGGTGGTAACATCACTTGTTCGTCTTCTCACTTGGTATTATTAAAAAAAACCTTAATTTAAGGTGACAATAGATTTGTTTCACCAAACCTTAATTATCGAAGATATTTCTTAAAGATTTCTTGTCGTTGACGAGTATCTGCTACAATCGAACAAGTAAACTGTGGGCCAAGAACCTCTCCCTGTAGGACACCCGTACTTAAGAACACCACAGTTACTACATCTCTAATTGTGATAAAAACAAGTTTTTATTCAAGAATTACAAAAGATAATTAATATTGTTATTTATAAAAATTTTATTATGATCGTAAACATAGAGATCTAGCAGAATAATAAAGCATTTGTTACTGCACGATGGTAGATATGCAATTTCTATGAATATGAAATGCTTTAACAAGGTCAGATGGTATCGGTCGAACACGTTTAAGCTTTCAACAGTAAGTAGTACGGAGCTTTTTAATGCATGCTGTACTGGTAAGTTCAAGATTAAGAACTTTTAATGTTTAATGTTTTTTTTTTTAATTAGATTATTATTTGTAGTTTGAAACAGACTGCAATGGCTTTAATAAATAATTTCCAAAATAATTTTCTTTTAATTAGGAATATTTACATCTTTTAAATTATTTCGATTATATGTTACAAATTTATTTTAAAATATTTTATGTTTCGTTTAAACAATCATTCTCGTTTAAATGTACAATTAAACTTAAAATTTAACTTCACATAAAACTTTTATCGGATTAAAAAAGAAAGTAACAATAATCAGTAGACTTACTCGCACAAATTCCGAAATCACTCCAACTCACAACACTGAAAGGAAATGTTTTAAAATTTATTTTTTAAAACGTAATTTAAAATAATATTTTCGAACCGGCGTTTGAGGCGGCTAAGGGCCCGAGACGTGCGGCCTTGCCTGCGGTCGCGAGGAGACTGGGTGCGATGCTGTGGAACCCAGACTAATATATGTCGTATACTAGTTTTCATCGTCTTTCACTGGTTCAAGCCGCGACTCGACGGCCAGTTTTCTAGGTTAATGAGGAGTCTGACTGAGCGGTGGTGTTCGCCGTTTTCTAAGCGTTTTCGAATGACGCGCCAACACCATGGTGGTTGAAGCGTATATATATATTTTCTGTGGTGAATCTTAAAAACTTTCATCATTTTTAATTTCTTTATCGTCTTTATAAATACATATCACATCATGAACAACTCGACCTAGGAAGAGATAGTTAAACATATCAGACGTTATACTTATAACCTGTTTTAAAGTTATTAATATTTATGTCACAATTGACATCTTTCTTAGACTATTTAATATAACTAAAATAACAATACCATCCGGCACTAAAAACCCGAACATTAATAGGTGATTTGAATAAATAATTTTTATTTTATTCAATCACATATATTTAAATTACAAATTTCAAACCCATTTCATTCAGCCACTTGTCATAATTCAGTTAAAGACACAGTAATTCAAGTTGCAATCACGCTAACAATATCACAAAACTTAAATTGTCTTACTGCTTACAATCACTTATACTATGATAATGGTAAGCGATAATTTCGAGAGTTGCTGCCTTGTTATGTGCGCCTGGTACTTTTGGAGGAATAACTTTTTTTTTATGCTTTTCAAAGTTTCTGGTGAAGCGAAATTTTTGACGATAACGTGCAAAGGTTACTTCATTATAAAGTTTTCGATAATTTAATGAAAAAGTATATAGTGCGTGTCTTCATTCTTAAAGTATTAATTTTAATCATAGGCATGTCAGTGATATTACTTTTTTGAAACTTAAAAATTAATGATTGATAAATGTTTTTTGAAATTAACTAAAATATCAATTGAAATTGCATTGAATTATTGTTTATTTTATGTTATTATTACACGTCTATATATTGCTCATAATTCGTCAAAAAATAAAAACATAAGGCGGAACCTTTCATTGACTTACAATTATATGGACGTCGGGTCCGCGCTAAAAAGTGTCCGAACTTATAGGGCGTTAAAATCGTATACAGAGCGTCATTCACGCTGTAGTCTTCGTTTGTTCGACTGACAGCGAAGGACGCAAAATTAGACGGTACTGCGATGACATTACAATTTAAATTCAACGTTTTAGCTTTTTCATATTCCTTTACATGCCACTACGTTTAAATAGGTTGACTTGGGATATTTTTTCGTGGTTTTTGTATTAGACCCGTCGTCCATTTATTTGTAAGTCAATGGAACCTTTGCTTCAAAAATCAAATACACTAAAATATATCGACATTACTTCATCCCTATGACAAACGTCAAATGAAGCGTCACGGGGATCATACTAGTTTGTGTTTAGTATAGCGGACAGTATTTGCGGCTTAATTTAGATTAAAAATTATTTGTACTATTGCACTTGCAAGTAGCTTCCATTATGGACCGGAATAATAATATTCCATATAATTTCATGAACTTTTGAGTTCGGTTTTTTTAGTAAACTGTACTGAGATTATTAATTAATCGTTTTTAATCTAACTATACTGACATCTGCCTGAGAGTTTATTCACTTTATGCATCGTTGTACTTAGAAACAGCTACGGTGAAAGGATGGCCCACAGTCTCATTACATTAGTTTAATAATGGGACTGCTGGCATAAACTTGTGAATGAGATTGGCCGTAGTCGCCTTGCTTACCACGCAAGATAGTGAACACAGCACGGCTGCAAATGTAGTCAACAAAGGCAAATGTTTAATGCACAATTGAACGTGCTTGTACAGAAATGATCCAACCCAAAAAGGTCATTTTTAGAATAAATTAAAATAAGCAGAAACTGCCTTCATGCTTACGTAGCAGAAATGTACATAATTTGAAGTTGTGAACTGGTTAATTTATGCATAAATTTTACACATTGGTAGCTAAAAGTACTTTATTATTATTACCATAAAGTTGCGAATTTAACAGACAAACTTTCAGTCTATGTTATTATTGCCCTTACAAATTACGTACAGGTCATCAATTTGCATCAGAAGGATCAATTTAACTCTTAATATTCCTATAAAAATATAATTCTATCCTAAAATAGAATTTATATTATATTGTGCACTTTCGTGACAAATTGTTTAAACGTTGTCACCTGTCACTGACATTGAGATTCCTTTTCATTTTAATAGTGAATTGGCTAGTGATAGCGAAAAAGTTTCAAAGTTTCGTGACAATATGTTTAATGTCTTCGCCTGTCATTGACATTGAGGTTCGTTATCATTTTAATAGTGAAGTGGGCAGTGATAGTCCAAAGGTTTTAAAATGCAATATCGTGCACTTTAGTGGCAAGATGTTTAATTTTGTCACTGACACTGAGGTTATTTTGCACTATAATATTGAAGTGATCAGTCATAGTGAAAAGGTTTTCAAAAAGTTAACAGATAGTCAACCATGGATCGTGTAAACATATTTTGTTTAACCCAAAACTTATCCACTATGATTGCCGAAGACAAAATTCATAATAACGTAAAACTCCGTGAGATATATGTATATACATGTCAGGATAATTTACACCCTCTATTTTGAATAACTAACTCAGAACAAGGCATCAATATATCCTAGTGACAAATTAGCTTTTCCAATCTCGCAGTCTGGTCTTGAAGTTTATACAAACACAATTACGTCTACGACACGATCTGATGCTTTGACATATTGCAGGGTGTGTAGAGACCCTTAACAGGGTTTGCATGGATATTGGAAATTGTCTATTGAAGATATACACTCGGCGACAACAAACTTTACGTTCAATTTATAGTGCCTTCGCAGTTCTAAATGGAGCTGGTACAAATAGGAGTAAAGTACTCTGCCAGGTTCTGTATTTTCTAAATTACACATGTATTGTTCAAGGTAAGTTCTCCCTCTCTCTCTCTCTTTTAGACTCGATAAGCTCGACTCTAAGCTTCATATTTTAGCCCGCCGGCGTACAGTTGACTGTCTGTCCGTCGGAAAAACTGACATGATATCTGTAACAATTACTGTCAAATAAGTAATATTCAACAAAATTAAGAGGCGCGTTTACGCGTCTTGTCATTTGGTCAAGTATAGCATATTTGACAGTAATTGTATCGGACGGATGGCTGTTTCGAATCCGAGAAACGACGGTCCGAAATATCATACGGATAATTTTATCTCTAGGTGAACAAGTGATATTCGTATTCGCTCGGATGCGAATCGGACTTAGTGCGCAAGCGACATCCGGAGTGGGTCTAAGTTTTCTAGGTTTATATAGTCTCGTATTCGGAACGCATACGGTTCCTTCAGTCTGCGAACACATACAACTAGAATGTCTTTGAAATGCAACTGAGTAGTGTTAGTAACAGTGGAGCTCCTTGTGAACGAGCTCGTCCAGGGAAGTACTGCCACCTTACCTATTTCTACCGCCAAACTATAATAAAAGCATCACGGCTTTCCGGTTTTGAAGTGAGTGCTAGTAAATTATAGGCACATGAAACTTGTCAACTCATGTCTCAAGGTGACGGGCACAGCTATAGTCCCCTCAAATCTTTGCGATGTAAAGCTTGTTCGGCGCGTCACTTGATAACTTAAAAAAAGAATAGGCATCTTATGTCTGAGCTCGTTCCACAGCAGACCCCACCTTTGCTCCAAGGCGTCGTGATCAAGAGCAAGTCCTATTATCAGAAAAAAAGTTATCAATTTACTCCCGATATTGACTGTAATGGTGTTATTATCAAGTTGAAAGACGTGTTAAAATTTCTCACTCTCGTGTGGCTTATGTATTTGCGTATAAGTCAAAGTCGTGGGTAGCAATGTCTCTCTGTATATTTCAGATTATAGCTTACTACGTTAGATAGTCCGAGTGGCAGATATGAGAAAAGTTCCTCTGCTCTCGCGGGTTTTGTCTGTTGGAAACTTTAAGATCAAAGTAAACAGACATCTTCTAGATTAACGTCCACCTCTACGGTTTAAATTGTCTTTCCATTAGTTATAATTGTTTCCAACCTATCTGTAACAAAAATAGGAATATTGATTAGATTTAAGACTCTATACTACCTCAAATGGCTTTGGCTGATTACGCACAGTGAGTGTTGAGGATGTACACAGATCTATGTACGAGAGTATATATAGATATAGTATACATTGTGAAAACACGATTTCTAAAAATTGTCACAATAGGAAAAAACACAAACTTACCTCGAAATTTTACAAGAAAACCGTTGTATGCAATATTCACTTATACACCAAGATTTTTTTTATATCAACTGAACTAAATAGAACACGTATACTATACGGTATATGTTTTTCTAATAGCTTCAATTTTTTTTAACCGACTTTAAAAAAAGGAGGTTATCAATTCGACTGTATAGTTTTTTTTGTATGTATGTTACGCGATAACTCCGGTGTTTGTGAACCGATTTTGATGATTCTTTCTTTTTGTTGGAAAGAGGTACCTCCATAGTGGTCCTATTTAATTTTGAAGACAATCATCCACCTCTAAGGGGTCATTTTTATAAATAGCGCCTAAATTTTATTATAAGGAGCAATTATTTTAATGGTTGATTTTGCTATTCTCCAATTCAAGGCGTTTTTCTCTCTCAATATACTTTGAGTAGTGAGAACCGATTTTTATTAACTCCTGTGTCAAGTCCCGTATAGTGGCGAACTAGGGGATGAATCCGGGTTTGCGCACTTTCCGGTAACCGATTTCAATAAAACTTGGTACTTATATGTAATTCCACGTACTTTTGAGGTCGGTTTTTTAAGTACTCTGTACTGAGATTATTGTAAAAAAAATTATTCTGAAATAAAGCACGTGTCCTTGCTGTTCGACCTAAACAAATAAACCGTATTAATAGGAGAAAAATTTGAATTTGAGGTGAAATATCAACTCTTAATATTTAATTATTTATGTGCCGGTGACTAGTGAATAGAGATAGTATACAGTTATAACTATATATTTTGATTAACTGCTTCC